ACTTATGGTTACATGTGTATATCTTGGTAACCGCTGCATCAATTTCTTCGAAACTTGGCTNTTGGAAAGGTGAAAAAATATATATTTAATACTTGCGCCGGGTATTTAATGTTCGGCTCCGCCCGAACCTAGACTTTCTTACTTGTTAATATTTCGAATACCGAAAAAATTAACTGAACTCTCAAGAAAAACGAAAAATTCCTATAAAACGACGGACGAGAAATGGAAAAGAAATTTTCTTCTACCAAAATTTCTTAAATCAGTTTGCAGCTCTAAAGAAAAAAATGCTCGTATATTTATTTCCTCATAGAAATTTACAGCAAAAGCAAAGCGCTTTTTCAGGCAACAGAAATTATAATAAATATTTTTTATAATTTCCTTGAGAGCTGGATTCTTAGCTTTAAGATACAGTTTGTATTTGAGGTTATTAGCTTTAGGGGGGGGTTTGAACCCCAAAACCCACCCCTTGTGTGCGCTAATGGACGCAAGAGATCTGTTTATTTCTTAACTATACTTAGGAGGGTTGCCAGCTGTTTAAGAAGTCTCAGCTAACTTATGCACAAATCCGAAGACGAAGATAATACGAAAACGAGCACCAACACGAAGACGAATACTAATACGGGGATCTAGGCTAATATGAAGNGTTTTCCGAATGCTTCGTTTAAATTTCGTATAGACAAATAGTGCGTTTTTATACTTATTGTTTCATTTTCTCAGTGTAAAAAAGTAATACAAATTTCTGCAGTATGAAAGAAAATAAAAATGAATCGAAGTAGTGATACACGTCATGNAATAGCCAAAACAGGTTAAAATATCCCACTCCTATTATTTTGTGGACAACTGTACATATCTATTTATAACTGATTGTATATATAATTGGAGTTAATGTGGATCTGCTTCTCTATTGCTAATTATTGATATTTTGCAATTCATATTGATTTATTAAATTAAATTCAGTACAATCAAAACGAATTTTTCATGTACTGTTTTTACCTTGAATGCGGTCTTAATAATATCACGTATTCTACGTTTAAGTTTAGCGGCTGTGGCTCCGACACAGCCCGCAGGTCAAGACGAAGGCGCTGGACTGATCCTTTTTTAAGGAATTTGGGGGAATTAGCCTGAATAGAGTTGGTATCCCTGATCTCACCCCATGATCTGGTAGAAAACACATAAACTCGTGTTCAACTTCTAACAAAATGTGTCTAAAGCTTCTCAAGAAGAGACTGGTATTCAGCGACATGAAGACCACATATTAATACGTTTATTCATTTTATGAATTCAAAAATGGCCCCGTTTATGCATAGTTCGCGAATTCATGAAATAAAGTGCTTTGAAAAAGTTGCAACGCACTGGCGAGAAACTAAGCAGTTGTCATTTTTTTGCCTCCTTTTGAATTTGCAAAAGCCGTTGGTACCAGGCAATGAACCACATTTTATTTAAATTGGTTTCGATATATTTTCAGTGTATTCTATTTGAATATGTTTTATATTTGAACAATCCCACATAATTTTTTCAGTGTTTAAAATTCTGGTTATGCCACTCAGGGCTATTAATTTAAAAACATCGTAACCCTAGTAAACAGCTGTTTGTGAAACGTGGCGTTGTCGGACTTGCACTTCACGATGTCATGAAATGATGCCGAATTCATGGTTAACTTTCGTGTATGATTGAATTCATGAAATGGTGTTTATGCAGCCAATGTTAACCCAAATTCATGAAATGAATTCGTGAATTAGCCTACGCATAAACGTAGTAAGTGTTAAGCAAATTACTGCTTTAATTTATCTGAAACAAAAGTTGCTTAACTTTTTTTATGGGTTAGTTTGATTCACTATCAAGGAACTGAAAAATGTTTGCTTTTTTTTATTACAGTGGGTTAAATATAAAAAAACCTAAAAATTAAATTAAACAAAACTAAATTTCACTCTCTAGACAAGACTAATTTTTGTACAAGAAATTGCATATTAGATGATTACATGTGACCAAAACGTGGAAAATTGTACCCGCTGTAAAAAAACTATTATGATCCTTTTGGTGATAGACTACCACGCGCGGATACTGATGTTTGGACATTATTTCGTTGCCAACCCGAAAATAGCTGTACCACAGTGCACAGTCTTCTAAATGCTGACTGGGTAGCTAAAAATGGGTAAAGTGTAATTTAACTGCCATATACATGTGTATATACATACATAAGCAGATAGCCCTTATGACCACAGACTTTAACATCTCAATAAACTAGACCTACAATTTTGCAATCATTCACAAATTTGGATAAAGCACATAACAAGTTTGCATTACAAAACAATAACAAAGAACTGATTCATTGATTGACCTATGTACTTTTCACAGCATAACGATTATTTTCCGCCCTGTTTTTAAACTACATTTCGTCTACTTACAAAAGAACCATTCTTACGGTTGCTAGATGTAGACAACTGCACTCACCTTTCCTGCAGGGTACATTGAAGATCGGTAAACTGACAACTATAACAGGTAGGGCTCTTAGTGTACAGGTGTGCACATACATATACATACACATGAATGCGTATATACCAGTATTTATTTAGGTATGTACAAAATACCACTAATTTATCTATTGACATTTGACGCTCACAGAACTTATATGCATACAACATATTTGAATCTTTCAGTACATACATACACACCGAAATTTTTACGATATTCTCCAAGTGTGTACTGTTTTCTTTTACTCGGAATGTAACTAAGTAGTAAGCTATATAGTATACGGCAAAAATGTGTTTTCGCGAAAACAGTGAAAAAACTTATTGTAAATCGAAGAAAAAGTAGCTACTTGAGGAGCGTTCAGAAAAGTTCACATTTTTAAATTTTTTAAGACACTTTTTTCAGTGCGCGGTGTTGAAAGTAAACCAATCAATGAGTTAGGTACTTGTTTGTATGTAATTATTTGAGTCATATTTATATGGAATCCCGATAATCTGTATGTACATAAGTGAAAAACAATTGGCCTGGCAGGCGTGCATAACACATAACACGGACCTTATGAATTAATGGTCTGATTATGCATACTTCCCACAACCATTTGTACCAGTGCAATAAAAATTTATCTTAAGAAAATGTGAAGCAAAATCTAAACTCAACAGATCGCTAAGTTATTAAAAGTTCTGCTAATCTCTGGGTAATGGAATACATACAAAATACATACAAAGTACATACGAAATTACAGTTTGAAGTTTATGCGAAGTTGTGCGCAGTTATGCGAAGTATGCATAATCAGACCATAAGGCTTATGTTGTGGCTGTTAGCACAATGCACACTTCAGCTTAAACGATATACATATTTGGCGTACATATTTTTTAGTAAGTAGTGAACCGCGTTGCTCCTCCAATTTGTGGTGCTCCTCTTGCTTTCCAACTCAAATGGCGAACCTGCATACATCCGATAAGCTTTACTAGAATGTTTGTCATTGCATGGCGCAAGCTGATCGCTATTAAAAATTACTCTCGTTATATTTTCGATCTTGCAGATCAGTCGCCGAATCCGTTCCCAAAAACCTCTTTTGAATACATGCGTTAAAACCAACCAACCAACGTGGCTGATAAGAATGATGGTATTGTGGAAGCGTAACTATACATATCTGAAAGATATTCCAATGATGTGAATTACAATGCTCTTACAATATGTAAATACATACTTACATATTTAAAAAATGAGGCTACCCTGCACTACGGGGGAGTAAATACAGGACTGCCGAATCGGTAGCTACCTAATAAACACCGTCAATTACCGACCGACTACTTGCAGTGTATTTCATCGATTACTTTTACAAGGCAATGTCCTAGGCGGTAGTCACCATCGGATCTCTCTGCACTACCGGGAGTTACTAAAGTAGTCACTTGCGTGTTTTATGGGCGCCCTCTGTCGTAGTTTTTCGCTATTCTGCTTACGACTGGTTCGACTCTGCACTACCACGGGTTAATAGAGTAGCTACTTACCTAGGAGTCGGTGCAGTAGCGGTTCAAAAGTAGCGATTGACTCCAGCAGTACTGGAGGGTAACGTACGGTTTTAATTAAATGGGTCTTTCTGTAGAGACGGACTGTAGGGTTTGTAGGCTGGTGAAAGTAACCCATTCTATGTGCCTGTGCACGAAGCATGAATCGTAGATTGATACACCTTGGAGAACGATTGCCTTCTCCATCTAAAATTTGGAACATGGCCTCATCCAAAGTGCTGAGCTTTTTAAACAGCCTAAGGTTGGAGTGATTACAATTTGGATTTAGCACAATATATCTTCTTAGGTCGCAGCGCGGGTATCTTCGACGTAATAATAATAATATCGTCACTAGACACGAATAAAGAGCTCGAAAAAACTCTTTAGGGAATTCTGGGGAATACTGTTGCACTCGAAAATATAGTTGACCGCGGACATAAGTTTATGGGTCTTTCTTCGCTGTCAAAGAGGTTGACGCGACTTTATTTGCCGGTACCTAAGTTAAGAGTCTTTCTTCGCCGAAATTGATTTTACGCCTCTTTTTTCGCCATCAACTTTTGAGCTCGCGTCTTTATTCGTATCTAGTGACGATATGTATGTATGTGTAAAGAGATATACAATGTACATATGGATAAGTCTATACACTGAAATGAATCGTTAAACGCAGAAAATTTGTTTTTATTAATCTAGTTGTGTTTTGGTTTTACTAAATGTTATGTTAACTATGTTTTTAAAAAATTTGACATTGAAAACAAATATAGTAAATAGTAAAATTTAATAAGCTTTAAAACCGCTTATACAAAATTTGTTTAGAAATTCGAATTAAAAAGCTTGAAATTTTAATGATTTTGTACAACTTTTATAAAAAATTAGTAGACACTAAACAAACAAAAAATAGTGAAAACTGCTAAAAATTTTGTGGTGCTATTATTTTGACTAAAATGTAAAATGTTAATAATTTCCTTTGTCCGGATTTTGATATGCGCCTCCGTATTTGATCTCAGTTGAACTTTTATAATTACGAGTTGTCAATTTAAACGAATATCTTTTGTTTTGTTTGTTTTGTAATATTAGAAATGTATTATTATAGCCAATTTCTCTTCCTTGCACTTCAAAAGGGACAAACATAATCCGAATTTAATTTTTCCAAATAAAAAAACAGGTTTTTCCTGTCGCTATTCAAGTGGATGCACGTGTATGTGTATAAGTATATATAATTGAGACGCATAAACTAACAAGTTTATTTTATTATTATAAGAAGTTCTTTTTGATGCACTCAATTTTAAACAAATTTATATAATCTCTTTAATTTACAAAGTAATTTATAAATTTTATATTTATTAATTATTTAATTTATTTTCAAGCAATTTACGACGATAGTACTATCGATACTATCGATGTTTTCAACTATCGTTTCGAGAACTATCGAGCGGCGGTACTATCGATAGTATCCCAGCTCTAATGCGAATCCCAAAAGGTAGATTGTGTCTGCGTCAACCTACGTCTACGCTACGTCATTGACTGTTTGCGCTTTAAGCCCACACATTTTCGTAACTTTGCTCTGCCTCGCTGCCGCGTTCAAAATTGTCAGCCCTATTCTGCATTTCGGCTCGAATCGAAATTTTCTCCGTTTGGCAACTTTGGTATTCTGCGTTCCGTTTCCTTTCGATCAATCTTCGAAATTTACGATTATACCTATTCTACATTTCGATCGTAGTTCCGTTTTTCTAAGTTGCAAATTTGCTGACGGAGAACGTTTCGATTGTTATTTTCGTGGGTTTAAATAAAATTTTATTAAAAAATTAAGTCAAATATACTGTGCATGCTTGTAAAAGCCATCATAAATGAATTTTCTCGATTTCTGTGTTTTCGCGAGCGGTAATACGGGCAATACGAAATTGGCTCAAATAATGGCAACCAAAAGGGATATTGCGCGAGGTTTTCAAAGAGGAAGTCCAGGCGTTTTTGTTTTCATTATCTATAAATAAGACTGTGAAATGCACTGAATACAATTTGTTCTTTTTGTATAAAATTTATAGATGTACATACATACATACATACATAAAATGTGAAGTTACATAAAAAAGATGTTTTTATTATTGCACTCGTTTTTACTAACTTTTTAAAATGAGATGTGTATGTTGTTTCGAATTCGATTTGCTATGGAAGGATAAGCTTTGTTCTTCCCCTCCTCCAGACGGCTTTCAAAATGGAATTCATTTGCGTTCAAATCTTCCACTCTGTAGTAAATGCAAATGTTGTGGAGTGCTAAAACAACGTTTATAATTTCACTGGATTTGAGGGATGAGTAATACAGTTCAAGAAGAATTTCTTATTACTCTTCACTCATCTGAAACTTCCGCAACAGCAATCTGGGACTCGTCCTCCTCTTCAAGAGCAAACGAAATTTTATTTTTAAATTACAGTGATGCTAGATATATTTAGTTATTTTAAAATATTTACAAACTCCAACTTCATAAGCTGCTATAGTTTGTTGGCTAATATTTCTGTGTTTTGTTTTGATTTCCCATATTCCTAGGCAAACAGCTGATTTCGAAAGATGTTTTCTCTCTTCCTCTTTCGATTCGATCGTAACGCAGAATACCTAAGTTCGATTCTTGCGGAGCGGAATGCGGGAACGTAATCGAAATGCAGAATAGGGCTGTTTATGTCAACATCGACAACGGCGTTGCCGTTTTGGTCCAATTGGACCAAAATTGGTAGCTTATTTTCCTTTGAAAGTTGGGTTGGTTTGATGAAGCTTTTGGAAGACAAAAATGTTTTGTTTACACGTTGAAAAATTGCTTTCAATTTGCACAGTAGGAGTTGTTACACGCATGAGTTTTTTAGTTTTTTCCCATATTTTTTGAACAAAATTTTCTTACTCACTTCCCAAAGCAATTATCGATCTGCTGTTGAAATTAAACGAAAATTGCCTTTCGTCTTGAAAGAAAAATTGCTGATAGACAATTTGCAAAGTGTGAGTGTGCAAATTGAAATACATACGTTGAACATGTTCAGCTCAGGTTAATTCAACACTTTTTTAAATTGCATAAAATGTTAGAAATAGTTTTTTTTTTTTCAAACATAAAAAATGTTGGATATGAATAGAATTAATTTCAAAGGTATTTAAATTTTTTAATAAACGTTTTTTATGCAATACGTTAGTTGCTTTATTTAAAGGCCCGAATTTGTTTTGTTTAACCGTAAAGTTTGGTATGAATGGTTCTTCAACACTGTAAACAATATTATTTGGTATTTCAATTTTTACTGCTAATTTCTGTAGCTTAAACAAATCTCGTTTTAGTGATGAACAAATTTTGGTAGTTTAGAAACTAAGTGGGTAGGCTTTTTGGTACCTAAAATATTCTCAAAAGGCAAAACTGATCGACAAGCGTTTTCTAATTTCATCATTTTTATTCTCGTTTCCTCTTTCACTTTTTTGTCCTCTCCTTTCCTTTCCGTCTTCTAGATCCAACTTCAACAAGTAACGTCCTGTCAAAAAGGAAAATTCCATATGCTCGGCGCCAGCGACGAGTTATTGTGCGTTGCTTCATACAAATTATATGGGCATGACGTTTTTGACAGTTCCTTGGCGTATGTACAGACTAGTACCGAAAATTGTTTTGAAACGGATATGTTTTTGCTGTTTCGTTCAATACAGACTAGTACCGAAAATTGTTTTAAAACGGATATGTTTTTGCCTGTTTCGTTCAATACGCTTTCATTCTGCACTTCGCAGATGCTATTTCGTTGTTCGAAAAAAAAAATTATGGAAGCCCCTCGGCATCGAACCCGGCACCTTCTGAGAGGTAACAAATACTAACAAGCTCCTCTGCACACTCAGCCACTGCCTAATATACATGTTTGAAATGTTCAGCTTAAACAAATAAAATACAATTATGTATTGCATTTTCGAACGTTTTCCGGATA